GCTAATGCCCTATATTCAGCCTCAGCTGATGATCTACTAATGGTGGATTGCTTTTTGGATTTCCAAGAGATTAGAGAGCTTCTAAGAAAAATAGAGAAACCTGTAATGCTTCTTCTAGTATTAATGCAAGATGCCCAATCACTATTACAATAAGCATGTAATTGAATATCAGAATTCCTTGAAAATAAAATACCCTTACCTATTGTACCTTTCAAGTACCTTAGTACCCTGTGAGCTGCATTAAGGTGATGAACAGTTGGTTTGGATAAAAATTGACTCAAGGTCTGAACACTATAAGCAATGTCAGGCCTTGAGATGGTTAGATATAATAGTCTACCAATAAGCTTTCTGTATGTAGTGGGCTCTGCCAGTTTATCATTTTCAGTATAAACAGAAAGTTTAAAGGTAGGATCCATAGGTGTAGATGCTGGTTTACAGCCAAGAAATCCAGTATCTGTAAGTATATCAAGGACATATTTTCTTTGACACATATTGATGCCAAGTTTTGAATGAGCAAATTCCAGTCCTAGGATATACTTCAGTATGCCTAAATCTTTAATAGTAAAACACTTATCAAGATGGTTTTTAATGGCAGTTATTTGACCTAAGTCATTACCAGTCACAATAATATCGTCAACATATACCAAGAGAGCAGTAAAAGATGAATCTGAATGCATGATGAATAATGAATTATCAGCTACAGACTGAACAAAACAATAATTGATAAGGCAGGTTGTAAGCTTTGAAAACTACTGTCTAGAGGCTTGCTTACTTAAACCCATATAGACTTTTAATTAACTTGCAGACCCTATTATCACCAGGCTGACAGTAACCATGTGAGGGGTTTCATGTATATTTCTTCTTCTAAATCCCCATGTAAGAAGGCATTGTTAACATCAAGTTGATGTATATGCCAATTTTTAATGGATGCTAAGGCAATTAGAAATCTGACTGTAGTGATCTTTGCAACAGGTGAAAATGTTTCAAAATAATCTATCCCTTCTTCTTGGGTATAGCCTTTAGCAACTAACCTTGCTTTGTACCTTTCAACACTACCATCAGATTTATATTTGACCTTAAAGGGGTGTCATTTTTTCCTCTTTTTCCGTGTTGCCAAATTCTCAGATGAAAGTAATGTTGGGCCAATTGGCCCAACTTCCTCTTGAGTCATAAATCTTGTGGTATTGGTATAGTTTTAACAAATCATTGTTGGGCTAAACTTGGACTGGAATTCGAATAGGTATACCGTATGGGGCACCTCCATATTGGCCTACTCTAGTTCTCGTTTGATGTCATGCTGGCTGTGAAAATACTCTAATATCCTAAAAATAAACCAAGAACCTTAAAGAAAATAAATCCACCCAAATAATAAATAAGTCAAAAAATAATCGTGCATATAAAAATACACTAATAGATATGTAAAAACATGCACATTTTTCAACCTATCAAATATCGCTTTGAATCCTCAAGAACGCTTTCAATCTCCTTGAGATTAGAATTCTCTAAAGTCATTGAACTTGAAATGAATTGTGATGTTGACATTAGGAAGAACCCATATTTTTAAGTATAAGAGAGAGTGTCTAGGAAAAGAATAAATGAGTTTGATTGGTCCATTAGTATCCATTATTTATGTCCTTAATAATTATTTGAGAGAGATAATTACATCAATTTTCAATATTTATCTCTTTAATAATAGTTATTAAAGAAATAACTATTTATTTTAATCTCCAAGAAAATAACACGTGATATTTTTTAATTTTTTTCAAAATATACATGTTGTCATTCTTTCATTGGCCAACAAAATCAATATTAACTATTTAATTTAGAAATTTAAATTTAATTAATTTCTCAAATAAAATATAAATTTATTAAATTGATTTTATAGGGAATTTGACACTTGTCATTATTTGGCTCAAAATTCAATTGTCTACAAATGCCCGTCGGGACTTGTTCACATACAACGTGTTTTAGAGTGAATAAGTCGCGACTTTCTCAACTTGAGCTTGGTGTACCTGAAATAAATTTATCAACTTATGAGAATCCACTAAAACTCAATATTTCAGCGCACATGGGTAGCCCATAAATCCAATTAACTTGTGTACGTATGACCCAATATCACATTTCTCCATTTGCTTACATCAAACGGCCCAAACTTATTAAAATGATGAACAACATACAAACTTGAGGAATATGGATTGGCTCAAGTCTCACAAATTTAACAATACTCATTTATTTTTCAAGTCTTCGGATGTCCACGTTATTTGATTTTGCCCACATAATCTAGGTCATACAAATAATTTCGAACTAATAGTTGGTGGTTGACTTATAACTTAAAGAACTAACTGATATAAAAATATTTGGTAAAAGAAAATTGATAATTCAGGTGAAACAAAAAATTATAAAACATTTTTGAAACGCTAGGTCACCAATTGAGATGAGCTCGATTATTGTACAGTCTCATCCCACCTAAGGCTGAGCATGATACTCAGAGAATTCTGAACCGATCTGAAAATCGAATCGAAAAATAAAAGTTGACTATTTCACTTTTTCCGAACCGAACCAAACCAAAAAAATAATTTATACGGTTCTGGAGATTTTTCACAAATATCTGTACTTAGAACCGAACTGAATCGTCTCATATCGTAATGAACCGAAAAACCGAAATTAAGAATCCAATTATAACATTAGATGTGTTTTACTTATATATTCTATGTCAACTTTGATCCTATATAATTTGAGAATTTTGAAAATACAAATAAAATATAGTAATAACAATTAAGGTTCACATAAATTTCATGCCTAGTAATACTTAGTCTACAGTTGAATTTTTCCTGTTACAATAAATTGTTTAAATGGTAAGAAAGGTAAAAGAATATTTTTTTTTTAAAAAAAAAACTATATTATATTTTATTTAAATTTTAAATTTTTAATATTAATTGCATAATTTTAGTCTTAATTAAAATTTAGAGTTAATTCTAAAGTTATTTTGAAAATAAAATCTTCAACATGATGATATATCGATGAATGTTGTTTTTTTAAGCATATAAAAATCAAAATATATACCCCCAAAAATTCTCAGATCCCCTTCTTCCTCTCTCTTGGTCGGCGCTTAATTTCTTCTGAAGGGCCCTCCTGCCGGCGTTTTCTCGGCTACTTCAACCTAATTCGGGCCGACGGAGGAGGGATCGCGTCATGACGGGCCCTCTTCAAGTGTGGCGTCTCTCCCGTTCGTAGTGGGCATGGTTGAGGGGTGGGGGTTTCGGGTGTGTCGCGGTTTCCTCCTTCGCCGTCGGTTTCGAGGGCTGCTCCGGCAGCTGTTTGCGACCGGTGTCTTGCTGCAGTTTCACGCTTGGGTCCAGCCGATCTCTGGCGTGGGGATTGGTGGACTCTATCGATCGATTGGGACTGCTCTGGCCTCGTCTGGGGAGGGGCGGCTGCCATTGATGCGTGTGGGTTGTGTTCTGTGGTGAGCAGCCCGAATTTTTCGATGGCAATTGTTGTTGGATGGGTCGGTGGCTTCGGTCGGGTTCGGGTTAGCCGGCTTTGGTCTGGAGTTTCTTGTTTCGTGTTCGTTGCCTGTTCATTCGACGGTGGTTGGTGTTGGAAGGGTCTGTGGTACTCGGGCAGGTTCTGGTTAGCCGGCTTCGGTCTGGAGTTTCTTGCTTCGTGTTCGATGCTGCTGCCTTAGGGTCTGGGGTTGCCGGTTAGCTGGTGGGGAGGGATTATTCTAATATGTTTTGTTGTGTTTTTAGTGTATTTTCGTGGTTTGTGTTGTTTGTACTGTTTATTCTCCTTTTGGGAACTGTATTCTCTCTTTGGGAGCTCGTGGGTGCGTTGCGACTAGGCAGTCTTTCGGGTTGTCCTCCCAAGGATTCATCTATGTAGCTGTGTATTCCGTCTGTTATCAGTTGTAATCCATCTGTAATTATATGTTCTATTTATGAAATTATGCAATTGGAAAAACAAAAAATCAAAATATAACTAGCTTAGTCATTCAAATTTTTTTTTTAAAAATAAAAATCTCCGAAGATTCGAACCGAACCATACTGAATCGAACTGTTCCGAGAGTCCCAAATACTATATGGTAATCTTTATTTTATTTCAAGTGTTTAAATTGTGTATTTCTAGATAGATTATATTTCAAAATATAAAGAGTATTTTTCAAATAAAAATTCTTAAGAAGAATTTGATTAATTATAGTCTCTTTAATTGCACAAATATAAATTATAAATATCTCGACATTGAATTCAATCGAGAAAGCTACCTTCGTACTTCACTTTAAAGCACTTGCGGCGCTCGAACCGGCTAGTTATATGTTTCTGTTTCACGTGTAACTAATAGAAAAGGTTGAATATATTAGTTTGTGAGAAGAGTTGCTCAATAAATGTTGTGTACAAATAAATCTTTAATATATAATTTTTGTTTTATCGAATATTATATTATTATACCATCACCCTACCTATTACAACTCTTTCATTTGTTTATAAGTCTTACAATATAATATTACTCCAATAAACGTGCATCGCATGTCAAACACTAGTCTAATTTATATCCTGTCACTCTCAAAATAAAACGAATATTACCCTGCCCAACCCAGAACCCGACCCGAATACCCTTCCATCTCCATTTCTTATTTTGACACGCGACACAGTAGTGAACGTTCGCTAACTTTCCAAAATTCCCATCTCTTTCAACAGTTCTCTTCTGCCCTACGTAAGGATCCCAAATACCAAAAGGTTTCCTACCATTTTAGGCATCCAAGCGAAGCAAAAAACATGCGCACAGTAACACAGCCAAAGCAATTAAAGAGTGAAGTAAAAGCCTCGCAAAGCCACAAACAGCAACAAATCACGCTTAAAACCAGGCCCTCTTTTTTTCCCTTTTTCCTTTTCCTCAAGCCCCATCACTATTTTAGTCCTTTAATTTTGTTGTTCAAGACTCACCCTTCGTAAAAATTGGATCTTTTTGTGATTTTTCAGAGGCAAACAAGGTTGCCCCAAATGGGCTCTCTGAGTTCTGCTCTGATAATCCCATCATCAAAGCTAAAATCAGCTTTGTTTACAGATGAAAGACTCCATTTTTATCTGCCTAGAGCAAGGAGGAGAACCAGAAAGGCCAATCGGCCGACAACCCCTGTAAGTTTTTTT